TTCCCATAGAGATGATGCCTAATAGAAAGAAAATAGATTAACCACAAGAAAGACAGGGTCAGCTACTGAAGTTGCTTAAAGTTACACCAGGTGCAAGCCATAAAATGTCAATAGGCCTGAAGGTCAAAAGATATTATACATAGAGATTAACCATAAAAAAGGCCCTAATAGGCACAGAGCCCTTTGGGGGGTGAGGAAGCCCTATTACAGAACACAAAAATATTATTCTAAAAGTGGTTATAGTTAAGGATTTAGAAAAATAAGAGTTTAGCCCTAGTATAAAAACAATAAGATAATTGTTAATTTTAACCAAGAGTGCTAAACAGAGGCTGCCTCACCAGAGCCGCAGAGTCTTTGTGTGGTAAAACTTTTCAGATAAATTTAGCTGAGAACTTCTGCAAAAAGACTGATCTTTGTGTTAACAGGACTGTATTTCTACTATGTTGCAACCTGCTGTACCATGAGGCTGCCACTTTTCTGTTTTCTCCTAAGCTCAAGGCCAGAATATAATGTACAAAAAATCTATGGAAAAAGACTCTCATAAACAAAAAAGTATGCAGAGAACACCTGGTTTCATGAAGGACAAGCTGATGTAATGTTAAATTAACTCTGTGTGCTTATCTTCCCCTTAGAAATGTACTAACTTACTGTATAAAAGCTACGGTGAAAAATAAAGCGGAGGCCAGACCCTGCTGCACACACCCCAGTCTGGTCCCTCCCTCCCTCTCTCTCTCTCTCTCTCACTCTCCAACACCGTTCATCCTGAGGGTACCCCTGGATCCTGCTGGGGCTGGACCCTGGCATATACACTCTCACAAATTCATTCATTCAAATATACTAATGTCATTGGCCTTTGTGTGATGCAGGAGTTAGGGGTACTGACCCTCCATGTGCACTTAAATATATGTAACATATGGTTTACTCTTTGAATATCAGGTTCCTGTGAATCCAGGATTTTACCTCACAACTAATACATATCATGTAGTACTTGGTATTGAACAAATCTGCATTTATGTGGATCTGCACTGTTCAAACCTTTGTTGTTTTAGGGTTAGATGTGCTTTTAAAATATCATATGGAAATTCCCTGGCAGTCCAGTAGTTAGTACTCCACACGTTCACTGCTGTGGCCCTGGGTCCAGAAACTAAGTGCCATGAGGCACATGGCATGGGCAGAAACTATATGAGACAAATAAGCATGCTTACATTTTCACTTACACACACAAGCATGATAATATCCCTGTGCATTATCACCTGTTCACTTATATACATAAACTTGCACAAACATTTAATCACACAAGCATATTCCTATGAACACACTCATACTTGGTAAAGACACACCCATTTATTTTCCAACACAGACATTGTTATATGACGGGGCCAAAGATGGTCTCTCTTTATGTCTTCACAACAAGCTGGAACCCATCAGCCAAAAAGCCAGCCAGCACCAAACTCAATTTTCACACATTCAGTTGCTTTAAATATTGGTTTGCCCAAACAGTTTGTTTGGACTTTTCCCTAACATCTTATGGTAAAACCCAAACGAGCATTTTGGCCAACCCAAAATATTCCAGATAAGCAGATTTTAATCCATTTAGAAGGCTTCCCTGATGGCTCAGTGGTAAAGAATGCCTACCAGTGCAGGAGATACAAAAGATGTTGGTTCGATCCCTGGGTCAGGAAGATCACCTGATTGGGACAAATACACAGAAAAACTAGCCTTTTGGGTGGATGATTGTCAGTTAAGTGTTGACTTCCAAGCTCCAAGCAGACCTACGGCTCAGTCACAGGGATATACTCAAATCGGATGTAAAATACAACAAAGATCATGAGGATGAAGATGATGAAACCCACGGGTTTATTGTCAAGACTGTTCTTAGGATCCTAGATCAGTCTGTGTGATGGCTTGTTCTAGGATCTTGTGCTAGGCCTGGGGGAAATGAAGGGAGAGAGTTGGAAAATGAACAGAACCAGGAGGCCTGAGTCTAATTTGTGGACCACCTGGCCTCTTGGCCTGAATTCCCAGACCTCACCATGGGAAGAGGGAGAACCTGAATGGCACCTGTATTAATCTCAGTGGTTGCCAGAATGGCACCTGAGATGGAGGAAGAACAGGTAATATCTATTAGGAACAAAGTGGATACACTGACCATACAGTGTCATTTCCTAAACTATTGGTCAGAAGCAGCTTCCATGTTTACTGTGACATATGCAGCAGAGTGAGCTCAGTGTGTAATGGGAAAATTTCCTGAAAACTAAATGTCTGTCAATAAAGGAATAAGGTTCATGGAGTTCAGAAAAGTAATGCACACCTGTTCAAAACAACTAGGTAAATTAATATGTATTGAGAATGACATGTGCAGGGTATTAATGAGTAAAGTAAACAAGCAAGATCCACTTATTAACTCCTCTACTCCTGCCAGCTCCTTTCTGTTCCCCTTGCACACCTAACACTTACTTCTGAGGCTACTCCAGTTTCATCCCAGATGGGATGAAGAAAGCCTGCACCATTTCCTGCTGCTCCTGGGGGAGAGTGTGTGTGGAACTGGAGGTGAGCGTAGGTACTGGGATGGAGAATGCAGATGCTGAGCCTCACTGGGACTGGCTTCGCTCACAAACAGCTTGTCATTCACTATACAAATACTGGGGGAAAAATGCATATTTGGACAACTGATGGATGGACCACCCACACCCCCAATCTTGACTGCTCCCAGTGCCAGTCAGCAACCAGATTCCTTCCATCCCCCTCCTGTGTCTGTCCCCAGGCTTCTTGACTGGTTCCTCTGCCCCTTGCATAGAGCCCACCTTTGGAGAGATTGTCTACCAGCTTCACTCAGTGGATAGGCTGATCCCCAACCCAGTGACAACTTTACAATTACCCTGAACAATAGCCCAGTACACTACAGCAGAAGAGTGTGCAGTCTGATCCCCATTTTCAGAAGATGACACTGAGTCACAGACAGATCATGTGACTTGACCAAGGTCACACAGAGAGTTAGTATTGAGTCAAGGAGAGAGCCTATATGCCAATTCCAGAGCCCATGCTCCTCCTAACCACTAGGTTAGACTGCTCCTTGGCTCTCCCTGCTGGCTTTCCACAATACTGAGTAAACCTAAGGTCTGCATCCACATGCCCAGGACCCTGAGCCCAGGCTGGATGGGGATTTCTGCCCACAACACGGCTCTTACCTGGAAGAGCTGGCAGGGGTAGCAATGAAGGTCTGGGTGAAGGCACACACACAGCCAGAAGACCTTCCTTCCACCTCAACAACAAACAGTAAGAGTACCCCTTACATCCCCTACATAATTTATAGGCTTCCATGTCATTCCCCAGTCAGGGTCTGACTTGACATTTAGGCTGAGGGGACAGTTGTTCACTTGGGAAGCCAGGGTGTTGGGAATGGGGAGGGCAACTGTAGGAGCCATCTGCTCCCAATGACATGATGACAACAGCTTCACAAGTTCATGTGATGCATTTTTCACACCTGCCCAAGAGGTGGACATTATGACTCCATTTTGAAAATGAGGAAGCTATAATGTAAGGATCTCAATGTAAGGATCTGGGATGGGAGCCACCAAACTTGACATCCTATGTCACCAATGCCCAGGCTGGAAAGCACAGACACGGATGTAGTTCAAACCTGAACTGTGGGAAGACTGAAGGAAGACTTGAGGGCTGGAGGGGAGGGGAGGAGAGGAAAGGGGAGTGGAGAGGAGTAGACTGGAAGGAAACTGGAAGGGTTCTGGTGGAGGGGATCCATGATGGGGAGAGGGATCTACACATACCTTCCTTGAACACCCTGTTGACAGAGAAGCAGAGCATCTTTTCCTGAGAGAGAAGAACCCAGTTACTCAGCCACCCCTAAACATCTTCCCTACGATGTGGCTTCCTGCTCATCCCCCACCACCAAGGGAGGAGCAGGTGCTCACCGTCTGGAAACACATGTCCACCACGAAGGGGCTGAAGTCATGCTGAGTTTTGGGCAATGCACAGAGGTCATGCACAATGCCATGTTTTGTGTGTTTCAGCAGCTGGATATGCAGGTCTGTGGGGGAGAAGAAGAAAGCAAAGGTCAGGTCTGCCATGCCATGGACCCTATGATTGGCCCCCTTACCACCTTTTCCAGCCCAGTCTTCCCACCACACACTTATTGGGGTCCTTGAACATCTTCATATTCCTGTTGTCCAAGAAGTATGCACACATGCTGCTTCTAGGAGACACAGAGAAACAGTGGGTAGTGGTCCAGTCAGTATAGGTGTCAGCAGGAGCTGGCCTGCATCTGCTGGGGAACCACACAGCCTGGGGGAGGAGTCTGGGCTGTGATAATCACAGGGCTGGGTCCTTGGGTTGGAATGGAATGGTCAGGGAGAAGCAGTCCTCCTCATGATAAGCACCCAGGAGTCCCTGGCAGTCCTCATAGTCATGGATCAAGTAATACCTGAGGAGAAGCAGTGAAGACAGTCTATCTGTGTGGTCTGGAGCTTTGGTGGCCTCCCCTGTCCTAGCCCTCCCCTTACTGCTGCAGGAATTGCAGGATTAGACTCTTCAACTCTTCAGATCCAAATAAGCTTCCCTAGAATTAAAACAGTCCTCAGGACCAGGGTTGACACCTCCTCACATACCACCTAGAACCCTGCTGGATCCTCTGTGCTCACCTTGCACATTGGTAAGCACTTGGGGGCTTCAATAGCACACTTAGACCCTGAGGGGGAGGAAAGAGGAAGTCAGCAGTGCAGTCCAGGATGTGGTGCTGGATGATCAGGGAAAAGGATGGGCCCAGGGTTGGGTCGGGCCAGAGGTCAGGGGAAAAAGAGTCCTGGAAATGCCAATGGTAGGACTACATTTTCAGTCATCTCCATGGTTTACCTGAAGCCTGTGGCAAACATGGCTGAAGAAGATCTAGAGCCTTTTCAGATTCCCAGAGAATGGTACACCCACCTCCTCCAGGACATTTAATGGTCAGGTTCAAAAATGGAACTTGAACAGGTCCTAATAGGTTTCAGAGTAGTTTGTGGGCACTGTCAATGCTATTTAGAGGAGTCTGTGATCAAGGAATGCACTTACCAAGCTTAGAAACCTGGGGAACAATTCCAGGATGGTGCTGTCAAAATCAAGACAAAAGAGAAGTCAGTAAAACTGTGGACATGACCTTCCTCACTGGAACAAGTAACTTACAGCATCACAGCCCTGTGTGCCCCCCCCCCCCCCCCCCAGCCCAGTATCCTAGCATTCCAGGGCTCTGAGGTCATCTCACCCAGGTCACAAATCCATGGACTGACTCAGGGAGAATGTTTATTCCATTCCTTCCTACCACTCCCTCTTCCACCTCCTTCCCTGGGTAGCTCCCAGCCAGAATGTTCTGACTCCCTTTTTCTGTTCCACAAGGGCCAGCACTTCAAATCCAGTCTGCAGGCTGTCTTCCCCCCACCTCTCTCCCTTCCTTCATTCCTCCAGGGCCCAGTGAAGGCTGTGAAGAGAAGAGGATATGGGGGGAGAGCCTGGTGCTTTGCTGCCTCACTGGGGGTCCAGTACTTTTTCAAAGAGTTAGGACACACTTCAAGGATGTCCTCAGGCCCAGGATGCTGTGACAGGGAGGTGATTGAGGTGGGGCTTAGGAGGTAGGGAGGGAGATGGAAGGAGATGAAGATGGAGTGGACAGAGGAGGGGAGAGGTGAGACATAGGGTGTAGAGACAAGGCAGAAGAAGACCTCATGTTGTTTGACTTATCATGGAAGGTGGTGTACACAGTATTTCTATCTGCACACATCCCTTCTGGTTCCAGCTGCTGACCATTGTCCATCTCCCCTGCAGCCTTCACCTGGAATTATGGGGAATACCCACATGGACCAGATGGCTCTGCACCCACACCCTTCATTTCCCTACGAATCCACTTCCACTCATCTGTCACCCCATGAGCCCTCACATGTTTCTTTCAAAGGAGGATCTGGGTGTCCCACCTCACCTCAGTGCTGGAGAGGTTCAAGTTTTTGGTGGAAGCATTCTCCATAATGGTGAACAGGCCATGCACCAGGTAGGACTTCTTGTTGCTCAGGTTCAAGGACAAAAGCTATGATGAGAAAGAGAGTGAGGATCCCAGAGGGGATAACTGAGACAAATCTGCTTTTTCTACCTGATCTACCTGACCATCCTCACCATCAGCCCCAACATTGGGTCTAGGTCCTCAAGTTGGGCATGATCACTAGATGGATGTGCAGGGAAGCAGCCATGCTATTTCTACAGTTCCATGTCATTCCAGTATGACAGGTCATCAAGTCTCCAGGAAGCCAGGATGAGGGAGACAGGCTGAGAGGGTCCCAGCTGGTGTACTTTCAGCACCAACCCCTCCCCATGATACCATCTCTGAGTGCTCTACCCAGACAGACCCTCTACCCTCACCTCCCCTACAATTACTGCTGTAGCCATACCAGAGTCAAAGCAGAGTCTCTGGATGTCAAGAGACTGCTGGCAGGCATCCTATGGTTTGTTCATGGTCAGCTGCAGAGTTAGGGATGAGGTTCAGTGGCTCTGAGTCTGAAGGTGAGTGGGGGAAGAGGACTAACTGGGTATGAGTGCATAGCTTGTGCTGAGTCTGCATTACCTTTATCTGCCCCACCTTTTCAGACTTCAGTGCCTTCTGCACAGACTGGGGTGTGTCACAGGGTTCAACAAAGATAGATATCTGTAGAGAACACAAGAGGGGCTGGGTAAGCTCCAGGAAATCTGTGCATGGGATCAAGCAAGACCATGCCCCTCCCCTGCCCTCTTGTCCCTAGTCAGCTGCTGACACACACTCTTTCATTACCCTCACTGAAAATCTTGCCGTTGACATTCTTCAATGCACAGGCAATACTGACTTTCTCTACGAAGAACTGGGCTTGAATTTTCTCATAGTGAAACTGTAGGGAGAGTGACAAGAGAAACAGAATATGAGACCAGAGCGAATTCTCTGTGCCTGCCACCTACCCCTTTTCCTTTCATCACCTCCATGCCTTCTCTTACTTTGACTGGAATGAAGGGCACACTGCACTGCTTCAGAATCAAATTAAGCAGCCACTTCTCATCATATTTTATACCAAAGGGAATCTATGAGCCAAAGAACAAATGGGAAACAAAACTGATATAAGAGAATCCAAGGTTAAGGTAAGACCCAATTGTGTCTTGCTTTAGGACCTTTTATCAGGCTTTAAATCATTTTTGAAAATAGGACAATATCTGTTATCACTGACTTTGGCACCAGACATAGATTTTCTGGGTACCCCTTGTTTTTTTTCATTCAAATACTTCTCCTGAAAAAATCAAGTTAGTATGTTTCACAGGTACTTCCTTTAATAAAGTTCCACATGAGATACTCCTCGCCTGCCCCTCTGACATGGACCCCAGAGACTCAACCTCCTCCTACACCCAGTTAGAACCAAACATGTGATCTGGTGTGACGTGCTCCATCTCCCTGGCAGTAGTTTCCTCCTTTGCTTTTAGACAAGCTCTCCCATGTTCCTCCTTGCAGCCAGTCTGTTTCCTTTCTGTTGCTTCTCTGAACTCATCCTTAGATGATCTAAGAAGATACCTCCTGGTAAAAACAAGATGGATTACGAACTCCACTGCCCCAGAAAAGGTCTCAGCATCTCTACACAAGTCCAACATGACTCTCAGTCATTTATACACATTAGGTCCATTTAGCCAGGATACTCACTATGATCTTGAACCAGCTCCCAAACGTTTGCTCCTGTCTGTTTCTCTCCATTCTTCTCTCTGGAGGCTTTTGCTTTGTCTCCAAGTTAACATGCATTTGGTCTTGTTTCTGAAAACTACTTCTCTGACGATGGGGTGGAATGGCATACGGAGCACTGTGGGGAAGTGGAGAGAAGAAAGTGGTCCATATAGGCTTGGAAAGTCTTCTCTACATTTTCCCAAATGATATCAGAGCTACAGTGAGGAATACTCAAACATTAACCTCATCCCATCATTTTTCACTCTGCCAGGTTGGAGAGAAGAATGACATGTTTAACTACAAGGTTTTGGTTTTCACTGGTTGGTACATGTCAGTCATGCTGACTGGTCACTTACTGTCTTACTTGGTTGTCCATATGAACATCACCTGCTTCTGAATGTCTACCTTGGTGCTGCTGGGAAATGACCTGTTCAGGCCAATATATGTATTGCCTTTGGTAAATGCCCCAGCTTCATGCTCTTCTTTGTAAAAGGTTCACTTTATCAGTGTGCTCTAAAATTGACAACAACAGGTCAATGGTCACAGTACAAGAAGAAGTCCTCAGTAAATATCATGGCTACTGAAGAAATATCATTGACTTTATAATCTGAACAGAAATGTATCACAATGCTAAAAATAAATTAAGAGACCTCACTGTGGCTCCAGTTTTCAGGAAATGAGAGGTAGGGAGCAGTCACAGCCAAGAAGAAAACAGACACCGAGGAAAGGGTCTGGATCTAGAGTGTAGTATGTGATGTTAGACCCTGCTGTACTTGATTCAGGCTAGGTGACCTTGGGCAAGAGGCTTTTCATCTCCAAGTCTCACTTCTCTGTTCTGCTCTAGGAGGACAATAAAACATACTCTTAAATATACCATGGTGTGATGGTTCAAGGATCAAAGTGACCTATCTCCCTGAAGGAAGAATTAGAGAAGTGAAAGATAAGTCTGATGAAAAGATCCAGAATAGAGTCTGGAGAGATATAATATGGAGAATACCAAAAGAGAAGTATAGAAAATTACAGGTGATGCAAGGAGTATACCTAACACATGGCTAATGTGAGTCCCAGAGAGGAGAGGGAATAGTGGAGAAGAGGTATTTGAAGAGAACATGGTTGAGAAGTTTCCCAAAGTAACAAGACATCAACTCAGTATAAGAATATTAATAAGAAAAAAGTATAATGGAGGAGAAACATTCTTAAAAGAATATATATTCATTTCATCATCATGTAGCAAAAACTTAGAAATTTGTGACTAAATGTTTCAATCTAAAATATTACAGACTCTTTGGGGCAGAAGAAATATCATCCCTAGTAGAGGCGCATAAACACTATAAAGAAAGACTAATGGCATTGTTAATATATAGGCAAATTTAAATGAGTATTAGCTATAGAACACAATTGACATTTCCTCTGGGGATTTAAATATATAGATAATGATAATGTGTGACAATAAATTTGGAGACAGTTTAGAGAATCAAAGTTGTCTCATGGTCCCATAATTCTCTGAGCAGTTTTAAAGAACTAATTAACTAATATTAGACTGTGAAAATGCAAACATGTCCACTGTAATCTGAAGAGTGAACACTACAAGAATAGCAAAAGAAAGTTTAACTAGATGCCATGTGAAGTAATGATTTAACAGTTATAAAACATCAACCATATCAAAGGAAAGGAAAGGGAAAGGAACTTAGAAGAGGTAAAAATAAATATAGAGTAATAGGATATACATAAACCAAATTATATCTATTTATATTAAAAGATTCAGGGTAAATACTCCAAATAGACATTTTATCAGACTGGACAAGAAACCTCTCATCAAATACATGCAAGAGACACATGCAAAATTTAATCATCAGGAAAATTAGAACATAAAAAATGGCAAAATGTACACCTTTTCCACATTAACCTCAGAAAACTGGTAAAACCATATCAGTAAAAGCTACACTTTAAAGGGAAAATGCAATAAGAAGATAGTAATACAAATTCTAAATTTGTATGCATCTTAAAGCAAGCATACAAAGCAAAAACTGACAGAAATAAATAATGGACAAATCCACAGTCACAGTGGGAAATTTTAACACATTTCACTGAGTCATACATAAATGGCAGACAAAATCTCAGCTAGAGGGGATAGGATTTTAAAATGTGACAAATTTATTTAACAATGCACATAAATGCTCATCGAACATTCCAGAATAGATCACATGACAAACAATAAAGCCTCAAGAATCTTCTATGGACTAATACTATCTACCCTGACTAGTTAATGTAAAATCCATTAGTAATGGTTGGTTTTCTGCCCCTCCTCCACCTCTAGTATAAATCCAAAGAATAGTAGTTTATATAATCCTACCCTCCACCTAGGTGACCCGCGCCACTCTCCAAACCTTAGACCTGAGAAGATAACATGACTCACGCCTTTTCCTTAGCCAGGGAAAAATTCAAGTCAGCAACGGCCATTTTCACTGAAGGGGAGGTTTACCACGTGGAATTGAGATGGGTGTGTCAGAGCCCACTTGGCCCATTTCCTCAAGAGACTGGAAAATAGTCAGTCTGGGCTCTCTCCCCCCTTTCCCTAAAGGACGGTCAACTGGTTGGGGGTCCTGTGGTTTGGGGTGGGGGAGGGAACCCAGAACCTTCCTGCTTTGGGGGGATCTGAAGAGCAGGTTTCGTGAAGACCACTCACCCATAGGGTGGCCTGAAGGCAGAGATCTGTCACCACCGTCCTCACAGGCTGCCCTGGAAGAGAATCTGTGGGTCTGGAGCTGGGAGTTTGTAGAATGTCAAGGAAGGCTGCTGAGGTAGGAGAATGCAAGCCCCAGACCACTTCATCACAGCCACATAAACAAGATGGCGTCCTAACAGGAAGTCCTTTCCCCAAAGGCATAGAGGAGAAGAGTGTTGGGGGCTAGAGGAGACTAAACTTCCTGTAATTACTGCCCTCTGAGTTTGCTACCAGCCTAACATCCAGGGAATTCTTTCCAACAGTATCACGCCTGCAGAGGAGGCCAGTTAGAATCAGGAGGCTTAGGCATCTTGATACTTGTAGCTACAAACACAGAGAACTCTCTGTGCCAGACTCTGAATCAGCTACATTACACTGTGTTCCTTCATTCTGCAGACCCAGAGAACTGGGAGGGCCAGCAGTAGGAAACGCTCTGTCCTTGCTACATTGCATCTGTTCTTCCCTGTATTCCTCACAAGGGGACTTTGATACCAAAATCTTCAACTTTCCAAGGTCGGTGAGGCTTACTGAGGTGCTACACTTATTTAGGATCATTCAGATGCTACTAGGAGAAATAGGCCGGAACTGAGCTCCATGGAATGGAAGATAACTTCTTGAAGCATAGCTTTACTAAATATTTGGTGCAGTATAGGAGTTTTTCTGAAGTTTATGCAAAGTACCCGACCATTCTAAAAATAATCAAATGTCTAGAATTAACTCTAACCTATTCCAGAGAGATCATACCAAAAAAAAAAAATAGCAACAAAAAACATTGAAAATATAAAGCAAATACAAATAGAGCTTGGTAGGTTACTGCAATGACAGTAGAAAAAAAAAAAAGTAGTCTTTACTTAAAAAAAAAAAAAAAATAGTCAATGTAGCCAGATATCCCCTAGTGCAGGGGTCCCCAACTCCTATTGGGAACCAGACTGTACAGCAGAGGGTGAGCTGAGGGGGGAGTGAGTAAGGGAAGGTTCACCTGCTGTTCCCCACAGCTCCCCATTGCTCATTTTACTCTCAAACATTCCCTCCCTTAGAGCCGGAACTGTAGATCTGAAAGTCCCAAATCAGAGGTTTTCTAAAGATGGAAGGAGGGAGAAGCCTGGGTTCCAGTCCATGAACCAGAATTTTCTGGAATTTTTAATATCTTCTTCCCTTTCCAGTTCTCTGGGCTCTGAAAGAAGTCCAACTCCTGAGAGGTGAAGAAAATCTTCACATGACTGTGTGAACATCTGAGGTGAGGGAAATGTAAGACGCAAATGCATATGAATACACAGATACATTGTCAAGTCAAAAGTTGAAAATTTTGACTTTTTATGAAATATCATGTGAACATTTTTATAACATGTCAGTTATTTTCAATTATTCCTATGAGCAAATTTAACCTAATCACAAAATCTCAAACATTAAAAATGTATACTTAGAAAATAAAATTATTCTTAACTTTCCATCTATACAATCACCTTATCATGACTCACACATACCCAAGATATCCAATGTAAAATGATTAGTGCGCATTTTCCAGATGTGTTTCTCTTTTGGTAATGTGTATACCTATGTTAAAGCATTTGTGTAGGTTTGTAGTTCTAGATATAATATTGTTTTTAATTTTCAATTACATGGACTTCCCTGATGGTCCAGTGGTTAAGACTCTACACTCCCAATGCAGGGGGCACTGGTTTGATCCCTGGTTGGGGAACTAAGATCAGACATGCAGCAAGGTACAAAAATAAATAAATAAAATAAAAAATTAAGTTACATAAGTAAATGTATGCAAAGTAGCTTTTCATTTATTATGACATCTTTAGATTTTCATTTCTTCAGTTAATGATTTGGCATCTTTCCAAATGATTACTGAAGAAGCATCTTGTGTTTTAGATGAATTGAATTGTTTGTGGTTATTTTTTGTCTTTTCTCTATTGATTATCAGAAATCCTGTTTGCTCTTGCATATGAGCAGAAAATCTGTAATTTTGTTTGAAATGTTGTCTCCCAACTTTTCAATATTTTAAGTTTTTTTTTCTTTTGACAGTAAAGAAATTAATTTTTGTGGATTTTTTAAATATAAAAATAGCATAGCTATGATTAAAAAGGGCTTCCCAGGTGGCACAAGTGGTAAAGTACCTGCCTGCCAATGCAGGAGACATAAGAGACACAGGTTGGAAAGATCCCTTGGAGGAGGGCATGGCAACCCACTCCAGTATTCTTGCCTGGAGAGTCCCATGGACAGAGGAGCCTGGCGGGCTACAGTTCATGGGGTCACAAAGAGTTGGACATGACTGAAGCAACTTAGCATGCATGACTGAAAAAATGAGTAATGCATACGGTTGCATAAAATACTAATCCACTGGGAATTCTAGATTTAAAGATTTGAGCACCTCAGGGCAAAATGGAAAAGAGCTTTAGACCACAATCTACATTGTTGAATAATGGGAAAAATACTTGAATATGTGTTTTCTTATAGAAGAAACTATGTAAAGTGCATCTGGCCTAATATAATTAACTCCATAAATGATCATTTCCTTCCCTCTGTGGAGTCTAATTTCCTCTGCTTCAACCTGAGCCCCACACAAATCCCTCAGGACATTTCAATCCCTGGGGCCCTATATCCAGGGAGTGCATTTCACCTGCATCATCTTCAAGACCAAGACATGGAGGAGAGGGTTGTCTTAGGACCCTATCAACATGGCATTGACACCAGGACAACCAAAACTAGATATGTGACACAAGAAAAGCTTAGAGCTCTGTTACAAATTTAATTAGAGCAATTGAAGGGAAGTTAGGAAAAAGCCCAAGTCTCTCCCCCCCAAAATATCACATATAAAAGAAATCAAATTATTTGTAAAATATTTAGAACATATTTTAGACCAAAAGTTTAACATTATATAATATAAATAAATCTGATAATTAAAGAGGGTCAATTAAAATTTCTCAAAACTTTTGAATGAGAACTGTGATTCACAACATATAAAGATCAAACAAATACAAAAATAATTATATATGCAAGTATATATGCATGTACAATGCTGGGAAAGTTTGAAGGCAGGAGAAGAAGGGGATAATAACAGAGGATGAGATGGTTGGATGACATCACCTACTTGATGGACATGAGTTTGAGTAAGCTCCAGGAGTTGGTGACAGACAGGGAAGCCTGGCGTACTGCAGTCCATGGGGTCACAAAGAGTCGAACACAACTGAACTGAACTGATATGCGTGTACATATATTTATATATGCATATATACATAAACTTGCATATATACATATGGAACATACTATATATACATACTGTGAGCAAAATTTGGAAGAAAAGATGTTCATGTCAATTTACCTATATAATATTGTACACAGAGAAATGTATCTGGGGAACATAAACTAAATGGTCAAGAATATACTTCTTGTTATGGAAAAAGATAAAAAAATTAAAAAATATTTTTTATATCATATACACATTCCTGCATTTCATTAGTTTTGAAAACAAAGATATTAATTTGAAATCAGAAAAGTAAATAATTAAAATTTTATAACATTACAGTATACACCTAGTTGTGAATTTCATTGCAAAAAATAATATATGTGACTTAACTGTGTTTATATAAGAATCTATATATTCTTTCACATTACCCTTGTCTTTCAATATCACATTTATTGGTTTTCAGTCACAGTTGGGAGGGAGGGGCTTTAGAAAAGTTATGCCACTAGATTTAATGTACATGGACTCTGACTCACCCTTACTGCTTCATTTACCACAAACCCTACCAGATATTTTCTGGTGATGGGCACCTTCCTCTTTTCCTCCTTCTAAGGCTTTTATTCCAGATGTGTTCACCAGGTGGCACAGACCTCCAGTTTTTGAATTTTATCCAGTGAGAAATGTTATTTGGGAAAAGGAATGAAAAATGTTTTAAAAGTTGCTTTGAATTGCGAGTGGTGGAAGAACATATAAAATAAATTCATGTTCAAATTGCTTTACCTAACGATTTTCTTCTTCCCTGTGGTTTCCCAGATAGAAATTGAGGTAATAATATAACTCTTCTTAGAGGACTGCTGCTTAGTATATGCCTGAGGTGGGAGCAAGGAAGGCAGAAGGGGTTCATGTACATCTTTCTACAGCTGTCCTGTTAAGGTTCATAAGGTATTTTCCTGAGTGATAGACTGCTGGGTAAGAGATTTCCACTCTGGATTTTTCAAAGGGATGAACCAGGTTACAGAGTATTTCCTTCTTGTTATATTTGGCTCATCTCCATCCTTTCTTCTTCTGTTGGCTAAAGCCTCCTTAGCCTCAGATCTCAGCTTAAAGGTCACTTCATGTGAGAAGTCCCAGACACACCCTACTGGTGTGATTACCACTAGGCATATAGTGGGCTTCCCTTGTGGTTCAGGTGGTAAAGAATCTGCCTGCAATGTGGGAAACTTGGGTTTGATCCCTGGGTTGGGAAGATCCTCTGGAGAAGGAAATGGCAAGCCACTCCAGTACTCTTGCCTGGAGAATTCCATGGACAGAGGAGCGGGGCAGGCTGCAGTCCATGGAATCACAGAGTCGGACAAGACTGTGCAACTAACTTTCACTTTTTCATTTTTTTCAGGCGCGTAGTGACTCCACCACATTTGCTATCTCCAGACACACTTTGCATGTGAAAGGGGACCAAAGGCTGTGAGCTCACAAGTTTTCATAGGCTGTAGCATCATACAGTGGGCTTCAGATGCTGAAGTTTTCAAGTATCTTGTCTGAAGATTCACATAAAATTCACTCTTCCACTTTGAAGGCAGATGCCGGGGACACAGGACACTTCAGCAAAGTGTAGTCCTCAGACAACAACCAGAGTCTGTATTTCTGAGAACCTGTGGCAGCTGGGGATTATTGCTCCTTCTCTAAAAGAGCCCATGGTAGCACAGTAATGACAGTCTTCATTTTTAGTAGATGTGGTTTTGCATGACAAAGACCAAATGAATCTTCCAGAGGTAGAGTTGCAAGTCTTAAAATTTTTGAATAATTTGCTTTGTGGAATACTCTTAAATATATTTCAAAATATTTAAATGAACTTAAATGAAACTTCAACTTTAAATGAAAATAATAAAACAAATAAAGAAGAAGAAAAATATTCCATTAACCTCTGATGAGATATCACCATTTTTATATTCTCA